TGAAAGCATCGAAAGTTATGAATAGAGAGCTCCTAGCAAAATGCTTCACTGAATGAAGATGTGATAGATCAATTTAAAGTAAAAAAAGTGATTGATACATACCTCAAGCTTCTTGGTGGGGTCACTGTTTTCCTCCGAACACGTCTCTGAGGCATGTTTGCTTGAATCTGAAGACATGATCATCTTCTGTTTTTCCAATGCATCCTCAGCGCTGTAAAAAATAATAAAAAAGTTAGCAAAGTTTTTCTTTTTTTCTGACCATCGCGTCACGAGTTTTTAAATCAGTGAACATGAAAAATTTTCTGAACTGGAGTGTCAAATCATAGTATGCAATTACTACCCTCAAAGTAGTCTTTTACAAAGCCTTTTAAACAGCTCCTTGTATCCACTAGTGTCACTTATGCATAAAAATATAGAAGCATTAACTGATCTAGATTCTGTAGAACTACCATTGCCTCGAATGTTTTACTTAAATAGAAAAGTCGTTTTTATCATCAATTGGAAATAACCAGACAGGGCTAAAGAAGAACTTAGAACACAGAAGCTTCTAAAAATTTTAGCGTGGCCCTTGTGCTCCATACCTCAGAAAATATCATAACTCATCCAAACAAGAAATTCTAATTTTTGCGAGATGTCAGCACGAGGCCGCTGGGTAAGCAATTGGATACCCTTTCATTAATGCTGATTTACGTTCACGGATTTTTCGATTTTTCCATTATTGCTGCGTATTCGATCATAGCATAAGCAATCCGGCTTAAAACTGAGAAGTGACGAGGTTTCCATTACCTGCTACCAGGGATGTCTTCACCCTCGTTTTCAGCATTTTCGTTCATTCCGACGTACGCATGCGTAGACTTCGAATTCTGGCCTTTCTCTTTGCTCAAGCTGGACAGACTCAAACTCGGGTTTACGTGTCTCCGGACATTTCTGTGTGGTCTAAAGAGGATGATATACACCTTGGGCCCATAAAGACAACACAAGAGAGCAAAGGCTATCAAAGAAACGCTAACACACAGGATCAAAGGCTTCAGTTCGTATTTTTGTTCCATGTAATACACCGCCAAGAAAGCGAGCCATACCACACACGATGAATACATGGCAAAAGCTATGTATTTCGCTTCGTTAAAATTACTGGGGATTTTCCGGGTCTTGAAAGCGTAAATCGTGCACATGGTGATTAGTATAAAATTATACACTTGAGACAGTCCAAAGTCTAGATTTGAAGTCGAGCAATCGAGGTAAACTGAGGAGATTTCTGGGTAATAAAATTTAGCTCGCGGAGTCCGGAGAAGCGCAAGCATTACCAAAAGTAAAATCTGCACCGAGACCACTCCAACGACCAGAACAAGCTGCGACAAGGGCAGGATTAGTATCGGTCTACGAGCTAAGTTCTTACGATTGAAAATTCTGGAGATGCGGTTCGTCTTTATAAACAAGGACGCGTAACAAATTGTTAGAGCCACACCGTTACCAAAGAAACGTGCAATGCAAGTGACATCTGTAGGTTCCAGTATTGTAACAAACGTCACACTAAAGGCCAACAGAATACCAATCAACAGAAGATGGGAAAGTTCCCGACCACACGCTTTGACTAATGGTGTCTTGTCAAATTTGATCAGCACACCGATTACAAAAAGTGTTGACACCACTCCTAGACCCGCAAAAGCGGTGGCTGATAAAGAAAGAATCCAGTTCTTTCCAAAATGCATGATGTCGATTTTCACGCACGAACGTCCGTCGTACGTTGGTTTGTATCCCAGAGGGCATTGCTCGCAAATGCTGTCGTTGACTATATAATGGTTTCCATTGCACAAAGTACAAGTCCAGCAGCAGGATTCTCTACCAGCAACAGGCACTCTGACTTCTTTGTTCTTACAAACTGGGTGACAAGAGGACGACACTCCACCAAAAACTGACTGAGCCTGTGAATACATTTTCAACAGGTGTGAGTTCCATTCGCCAATTTGAACAGTTTTGTACTCGTTTCCACGCTTTGTGAACATAAGAATGTCATATTGCCCTTCAACGTCACCATTTTCATCGAAGTGCATATGATTACCACTTTCTCCTATAAAAGAGATATTTCTGATATACTTCAAGATCTCTCTTCCCGACATATTGCGCATGCGTTCGCAAACACCACTCGCGCCCGAACACTTATCTTTCAGCATAGCATCTAGTGCATGTGCAAACACGTTGACGGCATCCATAGCACTTGCGACACGATTATCCACTGGACTGTTCATAACGTTAAGACTCAAGCGGCTACATTTACCATTCAATCTTCTATTGAGCGAACAATTGAAATGTTGCTCCCAAAACTCGTTAAACCATGGATTACTGGAGTTCACACTGGGCTTCAGACGATAAAAATGGTCGTTAAAAGCTTTCAGTTCCACAGTTTTCGGAGTAACTGTAATGGTGTTCTCTGCCACATCTTCCAAGCCTTTTAACCACAACATGTTTCCCCAGGCGTCTGTTCCTAACCACTGAAAAGTCCCAGATGCTCCTTTGCTTTTCGCAGCTTGCAGGAGATTTCGGATTTGTCGTTCCTGACTGCTGAAAACTACCACGCCTCTGGCTTCGGGCTCTTGCAGGAGTTTATCGATGATTATGTTGAATGTAGCAGCTGGACTAGATATTTCAACCTTCTCGGCTACAGCAATACAAATACCTAAACACAAAAAAATATTTTGAAAAGTGACCTGAATTCGGAGAAGTATAGGTGAAAAGTACTAATTTTCATCGCCTGACTTGCTGTCCTAAAATGAATCAAAACAATATGTTTCATATACGCGATGTACTCCTACCATACTTCCTCTCTTTTTGTCCAGTCAGGAGCAAAAAAAGGAACTAAAATTGTACCAATCACACTTACACTTCACACGGGCATATCTCCCTTCCTTTCATCTCGTTGGGTCTATTGACTCTTTTTGTCGAGTTTTGATAGGTTATTGCGCCACTAGCACCATTAATTCGCACTACAAAGAACGCTTTTGAACATAATGCAGGATTTGACTTGGAAAACCACTCGCTTAGATGCTGATAGAAGTTTGGTAAACAGTGATAGGGAAGAGACGGGGAAGGAGGTCTTAGGGTGAACGTAGTTCCCTACTTTGTCAAAAAATGTCATTGTTTATAACATTTAAAACAACCTGGAATACCTCAGCTAAAGGCATCTTGGTAGGGCGTTAGTGCAAGGCCCCTCCCCCCCTTCCCTTACTTACAAGCATGAACACTGAAAATTCCTGTGAACATTCCTCATAAGCTAAAGCTTTCATACCTGCTTTTTTTGCTTCCTCTTTGACAGCATGATAGCCGAGCGTGCCGTAAGAATCGTCACTATAAACAATTGAGATGTAGGTCCAGTTCATGACTTTAGCGATGTCTACCAGCGCCTTGGCCTGGTACAGATCGTGTGGAACTGTACGAGAGAAGAACTCAAATCTTGTTTTATCGCTCAGTTCATAACTGGTGGAGTCAAAACTCACTTGCGGAAGCTGGAACAAGCGGTACAGATGTGCAACTTGCACGGAGATGGAACTGAAAGATGGTCCTATTACACCCATCATGACGGAACCATTTGCGGAAAGATGTTCCCGGATAGCCTCCCTGTCTTGCACGAAGTGTAAGGCCCTGTCCAGAGCCACTGTCTCGCTAGAGCAGGTGTCATACACCTCTAGCCCAAGGGTGACACCTTGCAAAATGGAATTGTTTTTGTTTATGTTGTTGATGGCAAAGAGCATGGCCTCAAGTCTTTGGATACCAATGCGTTCATGAAGATCTCCGCAATGCGTTTGATCCACTAAGTCATGATCGTGTATCGGTACCAGACCTCCAATGACAATCTCGCCCTTTACTATCAAGCGACGAACTTGGCTGGTTACGTAATGAATATTTGTTGCCATGGTGATCATTAATATTATACCAATCATCGTCTCCATTCCTTTAGCTTTACCTAGAGAGGGTTAAAAATGTTATTTCCGTGACGTTGTTAAAATTAAGTGTTACAGAAACGGTATGTTGTATCTGAGGATTTTTTAGTCAAATTATTCCAAAGGGAACATGAAGGAGTACTTTTCGATATTCTCTACTGGAACAGTTTGAGTGTTATTCCAATTTCACTGCTTGATTCTAATATTTTCCAATTAAAAGGTAGGTGCGTAAGTACATATCACGCAAAAAAATTCTGACTTTTTACACTCAGAAACACGAGTTTCACAAATTTGGCCCGTTGTTCTTTAATTCAAACCGGATTCGGGTAAGAATTCGGTTCAACGTGAAGAGGTTTTAGCTTCAACAGATATAGTTCTGCCAATAGATTAAGTTAGACCTATGGATCGCCTCCGTCGAAGCGCCTTTTTTTACGATATTGGTCAGCCTTTGCCGTTTTATCGCGTGTCAATGTGTTTCATTTTAATTGCGGTATGACTCTGCAATTTAAAAATCTGAAGAAAGCTCTTTTTCCTTTTCCAAATAGACAGCTTTGTCCAATGTGATCATCTCTTGTAACAAAGCTTTCCGAAAGATATAGATAAACAAACAAAATAAGAAAGATAACAAAATAGAACGATTTTAGTCACAAAATAATCAAGACTGTTTAATTATTTAGCGATTAAAAACAAACTTGAGTTAAAGCTAAATTTGAATTCATAACAAAAATACGGTCGTGGTTTTTGGTTTAAGAAATTAGAAGGAATGACATTTTTCCCAGATTAACACCACATAGCAAATGAATGATCATATCTTTGAAAATTTGATATTGCTTATTTTATGTCGGTGTTACGGTAATTACCGAAAGCCTTCTTTGAGTGAGAAACCACGGCGATTGAAATTCGTCATCGTTTTCAGCTACATTTTTGTGAACGAAACCAAAAAAAAAAAAAAAAATTCAATGGGTTCCTGCAAAACCTGATTAGAAAAAACTCCAGGCATGCAGCGTTTGATAATGTAGAAGGCTTTTAGTTACGACAGCGAAGGTCAGGATACGTCAATGGAGAATTGTCTCTCATTCTAATTACTTCAGAAGCACTCAGCTTGTATATTTCGAATTATCCTTAGTTAAGAACCAAATATATGAAATGTATGGCTCCAAATATTTCAGTTTCTATGAGAGGTTCCAACTTGGAAATTTTCAAAATGCTTCAAACTAATTATGAATCCTTGCCCAAAATTATATATTGCCTGAAGGCACTAATTGTGAATGCAATCAGTTTGTACCAAGTTCTAGTCTAGTGAATATATAAAATAGCTAAACCGTTTTTGTTTGAAAGACGTCAAAGAAAAGAATTTGCCAAGAAAAACAACCATCAGATAAAGAGCATTTGAAAAGCGAAACAGGAAAAGTTTTGTCACATGTTTCTCTAGCGAAAATATGGTTTCTCTTGAAACTGTTGTCATGACTTAAAATCAGTCAGTCATTGCGAACAACTTGTCGGCGGGCTCCTTTATGATGTTAATGTATCAAAGTGGCAAAATTTTTCATTTGATTTCGATGATGGTGGCTTTTCTTCGGTCAAAGATTTCTATACTCCTTCTGAGAGGTTACAGTTACCAGTTACTAGACTAGTTTAAGGATGTATCACAAGTTTTGAAATAACGAACTTGATCAGTTTACTACAACTAAAACTACAACTGCTACACTTGTACTTCATACTGAACTCATCCGGCCCCAACTAAACCAAATCTTACTAATCAATACGACTTCTCTAACAGATAAAGACAAACCTTCAGTTTAGATAACGTAGGGTAGTTAGACAAAACATAGCATCAGCTTTGAAGTTCGAGACCAGGCAAGTTGCCATCATAAAGAGTTAAAGATAAAATTACCTGTGGGTTGCCGCGTTCGGTTCAGGTTTCCGTGTGTTCGACAACACTCAGTTTGAAATCTAAATGCCTCACTAACTCTGAATATTGATTTGCTGTTTATTAGCATAAATATATACAATATCTTGGTTGTCTTAATTCCTTTTATATAGTTTAAGTGCCAAATCTAGGATATATTGGAAATGAAAATAATAAGAACGCAATAGTTTATATTCAGGGCATCGATTTTTGAAGACCAAGATTAGCTTAGGGAAAGTTCTTGCAATTCGACTTAGAGCTACAGGTTTAGACAGACAGAACCGTAAGATACATAAATTCATTCATGTTATACGGTAATGAAAAGTGTAATTTAAGTTTTATCACACGCATAAATTCATATTCTGAGTTTTGATTTAACACTTGGTTATAGAGAAAGCTTTTCCTGGTTCATCTAACTGATAAGAAGGCGTACTGACGTTACACAATTGTGTACCAAAAACACTTACAAACCACAACCAACCGCATTTCATAGTTCAAAGTAAATTATTGAACTTAAATATTCAGGAGGTTATCTCAGGAATGATTGCAAAAGAAGAGCATACCTTCTAAGTTGTGTATAGTAGCTTCGATTTTATCGCGAAATCGTATTGCCGATAAAAAGAAACCGTCCCTCGTGGTCTCTGGGATATCCTGCTTTTGGTTTCGGTGCGGAAATCGGAAATTTGTCTTTAAAAACAGCGGTTAACCGCCGAACATTCCTTCTTCACGACTTTGGGAAATACCTTGAGATAAAAACTTCGGAGCGAACTTTTCATAAAAGCTTTTTACTACCTCAAACGACAAATAAAAGAGTCGCTCAAAAAAACTATCTTTTAGTTCAAGATAGTTTTCCCAAGCGTTGCGTGCTTGGCTTAGTGACAAAGGATTGATAAACACAGCGCAGAAAATGATAAACAAAAAGATTTGCGGCTTCCTAAAAATCTCTCTTCTCCAATAGAATCCGGCTTTTTGACACTAAAAACTTTTCAATTTATTTTTCTCATCAAGTGTTTTATTTTGACACTTTAATTTCACGCTTGTGAAGTTTTTATGACTTTCCTAATTAAAGTGCCATTTTTGACCAGAATTTACGAGAAACTTTGAAGTGCGACAGCATCAAGTGTTTACCTTACCGCTTCATTCGTGCCCAATCACCTCTCTTATGTGAACTGAAAATGGCGATGAACTCAAAGATGCGGATACTTACATTTCCGTTTCAATTAAAACATGGATGACATTTAATTTTGCCTCTTCCGTTAAGAAACAAAAATGCGAAATTGATTATAATAATTTCTTGTTACCAGAAAAAAAACCTTCTAGTAGGTCGTTTTTCTAAGTGGCAAAAATCTATCTCGATCAATCGAAAATCCACTTACGAGTGTTACACTTCGGCAGATGCGAAGCTTGCCGAAAAAGACAAGATGTTCTCTTAAAAATGCGCGCCGTTCTCTATAAAATGGTGTTTCAGTTATAAGGGTAAAACCGACGGAGAAATATATTGCTAAGAGTTGATCCAAGCCTTAGCAAGAATAAGGAGTTTTGCCATCATCAAGTTTGTAGCTTTAAAAAAAATGTTTATTGTCGGTTGATATCATATCAGTTATTTATTCATACAAAAAATATTCGCACAAAACTGTGTGACGAACTAAACAAAGCTCGTGTATGTCAGAAGTTTATGACGAGGGTTACGAACAACATACATCATAAAGTTTTGGCAATGTCAGAAAAAGAAGACTATTATACTTTATATTACAAAATGTAAGCAAAGCTCGACCGTGAATGAACGCAGCTGAAATATAAAACCTATTGAATGTATCATGAAATAACAAAACTGATAATTTTGTTTATATTATTTTTGTGTGGTGAAAACTGATTTCAAAATAAGTGATTATTCTCCAAGAAAGCCTCTGTTTGATTAGAGTTTCTAATGACGCCTGTGTTGATAAAAAACTATGACTTTTTGTTAAGATTAATGTAAGCCCTATTCTTTATTATTCAAATTATTTTAGCCAAATATATTTCTGCCTTAATCTATTTTTCCTTGGTATTGGCTGCATAGGGTGAGGCTAATACAAGCTTTAAATCAATACGCGAAATCCATATTTATTCGCGAAAATTCTAAAACACATGCAAAGGATAGAATCACGCGAGCAAGTGTAGATAAAATTTGATTGATCAAAAAGAAACTTTGTAATGTAAAATGTACTACCGAAATTCTATGCAGAGACGAGACGTTGTTCAAAGCGCCAAAGTATTAATTTCCTATGTTTTGAGTATCTCAGTGTGAATTAGTTGCCATGGAGAGCTTTTTGATGCTTAAGACTAAACCACGCTTTCACCGCGAGAGTCTTTGCCTAAATTTAATAAGTGAATAAAAAATTGGAAAGAACCAGAAAATTCTTATAGCTATTTTTTGGGGAAAAATGGCAGTTGTATCTCTTAATAGTATTAAGATATAACATTTTACGTTATTTTCGTTCCATTCTATAGTTTCTACGTCCGAGTGTAATCAATTTTTTACTTTTGTTGTGTTAGCAAAATCCACGCCCAAATTCAATATGACTCTTAATTACTTGACTGAAGATTCCAAGCTTATTCCAGAAGGTTGGCCAACTTCAAGTGATCTTAAAATTGCGGTTTACAGAATATTAATAAATCAATGTTTGTACCTCCCTGACAAATGTTTCTCCTTTTGTGCGACATATTTGGTTTATCAAAGATTCAAATTGACTGAAACAGTCATTACAACTTCGACCAAATACTTATCTTTTCTCTAAACAGCGAGTTATTTACATTTGACTGATACGCTTTGAACTCACCTCTCTTAGGTGTTGCGCCCTTCAAACTTCCCTTTAAAATGGAGTAATGATCTCTAAATTGCTCGCCTTGTAGAGAACGGACGAAGTTTTCCTTAATGCACAAAGTTCAACTCAACAGTTCCCAATTTTACTTGTCAACATTTGGTTGGAAACAAAGAACAGCAGTTTACGGTCGATTGGCACGCGCATACCCAGACAGATTAATCCCTCACTTTTAAAAACTTGTTTACTTGATAAACCTCTGAACACGTTGCGGTTTCATCACTAAGTCCTTTTGTTGTGGAACTCGTTCACAAACTTAACGTCTCATTTCCTTTAAATCAGAGAATTCTCTGTTTACCAACTACAACTTATTAATATAGGCGAGTTAGACGTACTTACGCGCCAAGTGAAGAGCCCTACTGTCGTTGAATAGCGTCAACTGGAATACAAGGAAGCCACTTGTTGCAGAGTATTGAAAGCGAACGATTTAGATCAACGAGAAATGATGTGTTCGAGAGCCTAGCTATTCGCTTGCGGCGTTACTCGTATCTTCGCAAGCCATGTGTTATGTGTTATCTCTCAACGAATGAGTGTTTTAGCATATCTTTGTCTTGTGGTCAAATTGGCGGATGGCACGCGCAGTACAGGTGCATTGTAACTCTGACAGGTGAGTGCAACTGATGAATAAATCATTTGTGACGTTATCTTGATCGCAAGCAATGCGTAAACAGTAATATCCTTTCATGGTTCCCCACTCGAATCAAATGAGACTAATTTTGCCTCGCTAGCCGCCACCATCTATCGTTTACAAAGAAAGTGCCTAGGCGAGCGAGACTTAACATTCGTAATATTGGCTTTCTTGAAGACACAAAGAAATAAATGAGGCGTTTTCTTCATATCCCACAATAAGCTAGCAGGGTGCTACTTCTGAATGAAAAAAGGAGAAAAAATTACTAGTGGGCGTTTTTAACAAACCTAAGCTATAAATGTAAATCAGGTAAATGTGATGTAAATGCGATCCACGGCATCCTTTTTTTCATGTGATGCCAGCTAAGTTTTATCTCTCCTTATATCAAAAAGGAAAACGTAATGCTACAAAAGGTCTGTGTTGGGTCATATTTTAATCCCTTTGGCATTGAATTTCATTCTTCTTCGGTATAACTGTCATTTATTTTTTGCAGATAAACCAACTAATTTATTTCTAGTCCTTTTCGCTTGAAGACGTCTGATCCAGCGTAAAAGACGCATATTGTCATGCGTGCAAATCAGAATGATTTTAATTACTTCCGAAACAAGCTTTCCTCTCTTCAATACTCCTTAATAACTTTTTGTCATCAGTTTCTCAAGAGTTACTGTCGCTACTCTTTTTTTTTCATCGAGAATTTTATATTTCGTCGTGTAATGCATTAAAAAATTAGCTAAGGCTTTTAACAGACTCTACCCGACCCAATATCGTTACATTTTTACAACCGAAGAAAAAAGGAAAAAGGGTTTCTGGCTGACACCCTAGATGCAATAATTCTAATATTTAAGCACTGCTTTAATCTCCCAGAAGACGACAGTTCTATTTGCGCAGTTTAATAAGTCATTCCTAAATTACGGTTGTTACGTGTTATTAGGCCAGTATTCAATAGAGCGGACGGATCAGTATTGAATAAATATGCTTAGTTTCACGATGAACATGGTAATTTACTTTACTTTAAAATATATATTCCATTTTTAGACTCAGCGGCATAGATTTTTGGAAAATGATTCTCTTACCAAGTAAAATGCACCGTGGCTTGGCTGTTTCCGTGTTCCTCAATTATTTTTCATCTCGCCTTCATCTCGCCACCTCTTGACGCGAGTGTTCGAAATTGAAATATTGACCGCGGTCAGACATAGCTCCCTCGGTTTCATTCCTTCTCATAAAATTTTGATAATAATATTACGTTAATGGCTCAAAAAAGACGATAAAAACTGTACCGCAAATTCATCTCGTGCTGCCAAAGAGATTGATTGGCTACGATCCTCACTGTTTTTCCATTTGTATAGTTTTTTCAGACTTCGGACTGTAATTAGTAAGCCACTTGGTAGGAGTAATTTACTCAGTACATTTAAGAGAACGTTTTGCGCTATTTTACTCTCAAGTGGCTGTACAATATTTCCCGATGTTATATCAAGGAAAAAAAGAACATGTAATCCCTTATGGTATCCATCAGCAGAAATAATGGTATCTAGTCTCCTCGTGTGGCGCTTTTAAACTGCAGGCAAAGTCGCTCGTTCTGAATAATGCAAACTATCAGGTGCTTTCTTACTGAGCCAAGCCAAGATTGAAACTTAATTCGCCAAGACCTCCTGTGTAAAAAAAACGTATAAATGCATTTGGGACCAGCGTGAAACTACGGACTGCTGAGGTTTATCGGCATCGTGGCCAAATAATTTCTAAAATTCAAAACTGAGGTGCCAAAAAGCAAAATTAGCGGGTGGATGATTGCTCGTCCTTGAAATTCTTAAGAACAAACTATGCGTTCGATAGGGAGGCTGTAATCTGGTGTTTCCACCCATTTCTTCCCAGGAGCCCTTCCTTTCTCAATTAACGCCGGTTGAGCCACTGAGACACATGGCGCTCTGGTGATGTAAAATATGTATCACCTACTCGTCAGTGTTGTTTTTGTTTTTTGTTTTCTTTTTTAGACATATGTCTGTCCGTCCATTCAAATGGATGGGATCCTTTCGTCTGGGTTGTACTCTGACAACCAGTTATAGACCAGTAAGGCGCCAATCTTTACTTATCCTCTGGGTAGATCACATGGTTTTCAGGGGGAACGGAGATGAGGATCAGTCGTCGCCAACAGGGTATAAATGGGGGACTATAGAAAATTGACTGCCAATGAGAGGGGGGCAGGGTGTCAGCCGATTTTATCGTGACACAACCAAAATCCTCCGACCCAACCAAGGGATTTATAAATAATGTGTAGTCCCTAAGTATTTAACTCATTGCAAAATGCTTGTTGGTAACCAGTCCCTTCCTCCAAGGGAAATGACCTACGACAGTCCTACATTTAAAAAAAATTGAATTTATCATAGCTCTTCCACAAAAACGTTTATAAAAATAGGTCAACCAAGAATATACAAAGCATACTAATCTCCCCCAATTGCCATGCTATTTTTACGTTTACATTTTATATAGATATTTCACACTATACTTCTTTATACGCTACAAACGCAAAAAAGAAATGAAGAAATCCATGTCAAAAGTTTAGAATACTGCACAAGGATACTACAATAATCTTTCAAAAGGTATCACAAATTCACGAAAGCTTTTATGTGAAAGAAGAGACACCCTTAGCGCTCGGTGTTGGCCTCAAAAGCGCAAAAAAGAGGAAAAATACTGACGCTTATCCTGCAAGCTTCATTAATATGAGTAAACAGATGCTGAAAAAGATCTGATAAGCTGACGATATTCCACGAAATATTACTATTGAACCTTGATCCGAGGTGTTTCCTTCTATTAATGGTTATGGCTAATTTCAGTGCAGTGCATTTCGTAGACCAAGGTTCACTCGTCAAAAATCTGCATGTCAAGTTGATAGAATCGCAAGGTTACTGCTGGTAAAACTCAAGATTACGTTGACACGTGCAGATTATGGTTTGATAACCTTAAGTGTATGTAATGTACGTTCCACTAAAATAACCTCTAAAATGGCATCAGACGCTATACACGTCCTTACCTTTAGGCAAGAACAACATTTTAATCAGAATATACGACAAAAGTTTTGTAAAAATAATTTTTCAACTGAATTACGGATCAATGTCAGTATCTGAGCTACTACGTACCTACCCCTCCCCTAAACCAACATTAAAATTGACTTGTTATCAGTTGACTGTTGTTGAGTTAGGGGAGGGGTAAGAGCGCAGTTGTTCAGATATTGACTCTGATCACAAACTGCAGTCGTAAGCATAATTTCCTTACAAGTAAGTGTTTTTGCTATGCGACGAGGCCCGTCTTGTTCGTACGCTTTCGTCCGCTGTGTTGAATACCACGTGACCTGCGTCTACACCATCAGCCGTTCCGTTTTCAGCGGTAGGTCCTTTGGCATGGAACACTATATCACCAACTTGAAGTGTGTCAGGATTTTTCTCAGAAATCGCGTGGTATACAACTTTATCGCTTTGAAACTCAGGTGCGCGTCCACCCTTGGTATAAGGCTTTTGCTTCAACACGTCATCGTTTAGAAATGTCCGGGAGCCGCTCAGATTTGGACTTTCTTTACCCGCCTCGTTCAGGTAACCATGCTGAAAATGCCCTTGAGGGGGGTAGGGTTGGTGCTTTGCGACCTCAAATGCAGGTGGGGGTGGCTGGTTGATGATTTGCATTTGTGCTTGGGCTTCTTGCTTATGCCACTTTACCCACGTGTAAGCGATCAACGACAACAAAATGATGAGTGCAATAACACAGACTACTATCATGAGACTGTCAAGCGTTTCCATGACGATCCAGTTCTTAATCTGTTGTGTGTTCAAAGCTAAATTGACAAGAGAAACAAAAAAAGTCATTACATCAATTCAAAAAATTATACAGCAAAATAAAGATGCTGCACTGAGAAAGTTCCCTCCACACTCATTCACGTGATAAAATAACTGAAAGAAACTACGAACACCCTGATTGGTCAAAAACCTATCGTTTATTGTACCGGTAAACCTATTGAAAATTAAGGTTATTTTAAAGGTTTATTTTTCTATCGGTTTACTGGCGTTATAACCTGCAGCATGTTGGGAGAACACTCGAAAAGATGAATTAGCATTCACCTGCGGTTCCTGATTTAGAAAATCTTCTCGTGTTCTCCCAACATTGCGCCGATTGAAGGTGCGGTCTACTGCTTAACTAATAATAATTGGGTCCTACGACTTAACGATCCGCGGCGTGTAATGTATTCATCGCGAAAGTTTGAGGAAAAAACAAAACAAGGAAACTTCGCTGCTAAGGAGATAGCATGCAAACCTTCTCATCAAGGAAGTTTTTCAGCAAATTTTTCGCCTGTCACGCAAGAAAATAAAATGGTAAACCACCAAATGGCGCAAATTCGTCGCCTCTTTTTGGCTTTTAAGCGGCAGGTCACGATACGTAAGATCGGTCTTTGCTGTATGGAAATAATTTCCTTCAAAAGAAGCAAGGCCTTGAATCGATAATTTTTTTTAGTGTGGGCAAACGCGAAGGAGGAAAAACGGATGGCTTAGGATGAATAACACTAACACTAAAAAGGTTTGCAGATATGGAACTTGGTCAATTTTGGTTGAAGTTTTCAAACAGAAAATTCAGCCTTGTGTTAGCTCCTTCATAATTCGAGAAGTGAACTATTGTGCTTCGTTGTATCGGTTTCTTATTGTCTAGCACGCAGATGTGTGACGATTTTTCATCGCTCGGTCACACATAAGTATCAGCGTCAAACTGGGACTTTCCTAATTTACCACACTTCACTCTAAATGTTATCTTTCTTAGTGAAAGCTGTCAGTTACATATCTACGTAAGGGAGATGTAACAAGTTCTGCTTTTCGCTCTAACAACGCAAACATGCGGCTGAATCGACTTGTTGATTTAAACAAAAGCTAGCAAATTAGCAATTTAAATAATTCGGGTTATTTAAACGATGAGACGTTGAATAAAATTTTATGAAGTTAACCAGCTTTTCGGGTACAAAAATGTACCTGCTCCATACAACTTAATTAATGTCACTTCTAAAAATCGCGATGTTACTGTTTCAAAGCTGAGTGGGTGGTATACGTTAGTCAATATTACTTAAATGACGAAACTGTTATATACTTCCTAAGTGACTTCTAAAGTTTCAACTACGTGCGTGCTTCCAGAATTCAAGAAGAAACGTTTATTACGAAGCTGTTAATGATTTCGCAAGAGACTCAGCCTGTTACTTTAGCTTTTGCTAAGTGTGATAAGTATATCTGACTTGCACCTGAAATCTCGTAGTAAATAAGTGATACGAAGCCATAAACACTAATTGATCTAGTCATAATTATTTTCAATAATCGTCTGCTGTCTCTAATTTAACTAAAGAAATTACTGCAGACGATTTCTCGCAACCTTTCCTAACACTAAAGCATCGGCATCGAAATCGATATTTCACAGAAAAGAGAGATTTCATATCAAACTGTTTTACTCAGTAGGTCGTTCAAGCGAGACAGACCACATTCCATCCAGAAAACAAGAAATCGTTAAATCAGGCTGTATGTTGCGTGATACTTACTGTTATACCAAAGCCTGTTTTGCGCAAACTGTACCAGTAAAAGCAACAGAAACCTTTTTCTTGGACAGACTGGCTAAACGGAGACCGTTGGTAATTTCTGCTCAGACCGGTACGCGATAACAATGATTAAAACGTTACAAGTCAGTGACTATTAAAAAAATTTACATATGCAGATTGAGATCTTTAAAAAATGCAAGGTCCTGAGTCCCTCCCCCTCAGCAATGAAAATAATCCTGAGGGAACTTTCAAGTTGATTCCAGGCGAAATAATCAAAAGTCTGAATAGGAAGTTAAAGAAACTAAAATGCCATCAGATGGAGATGAGAAGAGACGATTGTTTAAAGCCAAACTTTTCAATGAAGTTTTACTCACCTTCTAAAAGTGGCTGAGGGGAGGGGACAGGCTCCACGTGACTAGAGTATCGATCCGTCGCAAACCGGATGGGTGGGCCACGAGGAGGTCACGCACTGTAGTCGATGCGTCTTCATCTCAATAAAACACCACGAATAATAAAAGACAATTTCATATTTGTAAACACGATTAAAGCCTATTCAAATTTACAGATTCCAAAATATTAAGGAAATTTTGAGTCAAATCTGCAAGTAACGATTTCATTGAGTTATAACTAAAAGCGTATCACGGATTGAATGAATTAATGCTTTCAAAAATCCATCTCCCTCTTCATCTGCCAATTCACTTTCCGTGATACACTTGTCAGTCTAGTCATAAACAATGAGTCTTTGTATTTGGTTATTATCCTACCATTAAGTTTGCAGGCTCACTTTTATTGTCATGTAGCATGGTTGAAATATACGAATTCGCAGGAGAAATATCCCATGATACCTCGAAAGCGTCTCACTGCCAAAATGGCGGCCTCTGTAGCAGAGGAGAGTGAGGTCGTGACAACTTTATCGGTCATTTTAGGGATTTCTAGGGAATTAATTGCTCAGTTTGCCACTAGACATGAAGATGCAACCGTATTTCTACTCAAAGTCAAGCAGATGTTTGATGAATACTCTTCTAAAGAGGAAAAAATTCGCTCGGACATGGCTACCCTTCGACGGGCACGTGTAGACGCAGGTTTGTATTTTTTTCCGTTTAACGTGATAAAAATCCTGATAACATTCCCTAATATAGCTCCTTTTGGCTTTGACTTACTGTTTCAACTCAAATACGTTTGGGAGTTGTAGAATGTTCCTTGAAATCATGTTTGCTATTTGTTTGAGGCGGTGAATATAATTATCTTATGGGTTAATCTGGTGAGTTGGCTCAAACTAACCATCATTCCGTGAATGTAGAGCAACAGTTCAACCAAATAGAGAAGCAGCTAATCTCCTGCAATGCCAAACTGGAATCAGAGCAAAAACAGCATGAAAGACTTCAAAAGGAACATGAAGAAACTGGTAAGCTTAAGATATGTATATGAACGAGTGATTATTATAGTATCCAAGGTTACGGAAAAGTCTGTACTCTAGCAAGTACCACCACTCCCCTCTAGATGGGATCTTAGTCCATACAAGGTTACCTGCAGCATTCCATCAGGCTTCCCTGACAATTTGCAGTCACCCATACATACTCCTGGCTGGAGAGAGACACTGTAAGAGTGAAGTGTTTTACCAATGAACACAACACATTGACCAACAGTCCAGTGTACTGACCACTAGGCTGCTGCATCACCTGCTATTATAGTGTTGAGAACACTGTAAAATCTAACAAGATGCTTCTTGGATATCATCCAAAAGACTTCAACAAGACACAGGATGTTGTCGCAATCAATATTACTTTCAAATATCATCAATAGTTTTCTACTAGAAGGGATTTGTTCAGGGAGTGTTAGAGTATCTCCATTGCTGATAGAACTTAATTGGGCCTGACTGGCCGTTGCAGCCCTTTAGAAAATTGGCAGTACTTCATTTCTGCAGACATAGGGGTGTTTTCCCCAATCCAGTTTGTGTGGGATTTCAAGTTTACAATTATATAGTATAGGATGTGCAGAAATCTCACCCCAGTTTGCACTATTCTAGTTCTGTTTTCGAAACAAACTACTGTAGCTTCCTATTTTCCAAACTTTAAAAAAATCCTAGTTGCTGTCATTTTATACTGAAGGTAATTTGTACTTTTGCTTTCTTACAGTGGCTTCCCTTGCAGAAAAGCAGAAAAGACTTCAAGAAGTAGAGAGTATCAAGGAAGATGCATCAGCTAATTATGTAAGCTTTTCTTTATCATCTCGTGTATTTCCACTCTCATGCTATTCTTCTAAGCTGATGACAGTCAGTGAAATGTATACATGAGCTCTAGTTCTTAGGAAGTGTGGATATTGTTTTTTTTTTCCCCCAGACACGTGTGTCACGACTCAATGAACAACTTGAATCAGAAAAACTAGAGCTCTTGTCAGTTGTAGAGCGCAAAAACCAGGAGATTGACAGATTGAATGGTATGAAAATTAATATCTTTGTTTTATATCTTTGTTTGTTTCTATTTGTTATTGAACAAATAGATTCTTTGTGGCTTATGATTACTTTTTCTCCTAGAAATGAAAAGGATAAGGTTAATATGTGTTAAATATAGTTGAATAAAAAGTGAAGGTTTAAGTGAACTATAAATTAATAAAGACCCTTACTGGCCTTTATAGTGAGGATTCTGGTTTGATGTTAAACATTTCTCGTAAATTTTTTAATGAGTAATGTAAATATTTTTTTCCTTGATGTAAAAATAGAGGAGTGGAAAAGCATGTCAGAAAAACTGTCTGAAGCCAATGCTGTCAAGTGTGCAGCTCAGGTATGGTAGTAAATGTGAAAGACAAGTTGTGGATGCAGAGGTAAAGTGGGAGGTGTTCTAATTTACTCTGTGTCAGTATAAATGCAGCTTTTTGGTTACTGTCTTTAGCATCTTAATGTTCTTGAAACGAAAAAAGATATGAAATTGTAGGATTCAGGTCATAGCTGTCAATAAGTTTTGAAGCAGCTGTTATATTGGAGATGTCACCTGCAGAATTGTAAAAGGTGTCAAATTTTAACATAACAGCAATTACCAGCATCACCTATAACATTGAGTGAATTCAGCCTTAACAAGTGTTAAAGGTTGTGGCCCTTATTCACAGTCCCATATGTATTGAGATTTACATGTACCTACTGTTCAAATCTGCATGTATATGCTCTTGTGCTGTGGTTTATTTTCCCTCTCTGTTGTCAGGTGTATTTTTTTCTTTTATTACACCCATTTTGGAATCACTGGTGGTCCCTGTAATCTGATTGGCTCTAATTGGTGCAATTTATTCATGAATCACACCATTGTTTGCTTTAAATTGCATCTTTTTCCCAGCCAATGAGAAGGCTACACTAAAAACAAAACAACCAATCAGATCTCAATGCTTGTTTAAAGTAACCAATCAAATTGCAGGAAAATGAAAGACAAAGAGTATCATGTGGCAAATTTTGCAACTTTTGTTTTCAAAATTCTTATTTTTTCCCCACAAAAAATGAATAAATTCAATTTCAAGCCAGCTTAGTACTGCATCAATGAAATATTTGAACTGACCAAATCCTGTATTTGGGCGATTTCAAAATGGATGTAATAAAGTGGTAATTGAACCTCATGTCCTACAGTTTTTAGTCTGAAATCATACTTTTGATTTCAAATCAAACTCGCACTGTGCACTCATTCGATTTTGAAATCACGTGTATGATTTCAGCCCAAATTACACTCCACTCAGTTCAATTACCATTATTAAATAAGAATTTCAAATGTGATACATGTCCTGTCATGTACATGTAAGATGCTACTTGTATTACGACTCAACTTTGTTGTAAAACTATTCTGTAAGACTTAAACTTTTGAACCACACTTTAAAAATTATGTGTTTAATCTTGAAGAGAGGGGAAAATGTATATAGACACTGTATTTCTGTATAACTGGGTTATTTGTATTTCAGGCCAAACTTGATCAAATTCAAAGTCAGGAAACTTCTTTCAAGGTTAGGATGATAAGAGCTATGTGTTTAGAGAAAGATGCAAAGAAAAATAGCTAGAAAACTATTTGAGAAGAGAAAACAAATACCCTAGAGTTAAGTGCTCATCTTGACTAAGCGTCCACCCTTTTGTAATAAAAGTTAATTAACAACCACCCCCCTCATTTTAAAAACTGAAGTGCACAAGAGGAGTTTTATTATGATTACTTAACTGGATTATAATCAGTAAATTCACTGTCTATGGTATATCTTCAGATTTTGTTATTACTGTACTCATTGTTTTGTTGCAAAGAGAAAGAATGAGGAGGCAATGTCTTAGAACAAGCTGTTATGACCATTGAATATTTATAAAACCTTAAACAAGAAAAAGTATTGGAAATGAGGTACTGTACAACTGCCTTTAAGCTGGTTCTTTCAAGTTAAACAATTATGTTATTCTTGTAGTTCCGTGAAAAGAGAATTGAACAAGAAAGGGATCTTATTGAACGACAGAATAAATGGCTGAATGAAGAACTCAAGAACAAAACTGATGAATTGGTACAAATTCGGAAAGAAAAGGTATTTGGTCTTTGCATATTAAGTTCATTTTTGTGCCTGTCAGTTCAGGCCAAAATTCCCTTTACCTATTCTTAATACTGTAATTGACCAATTTTCTCTGCTGAATAATTTTTTTGCAAGGTTTTTTGTTTCTTTTTCCTCAATATCAGTGAAACTGTGAAATACTCTGTTGGTGTTTTTTTTTACAAAATTGATGTAATAATGTTACTTTTTAGTCATCCCAAGTATTGGAACTTCAAACACTGTTGGATCAGAGAACTGAAGAGGTAAGAGGTTCATTAGTTTTAGGAATACTCTGCATTACAAAGTGCTTCACAAATTCAATGTTGTGAACAGCTTTTTGCATGCAGTTAATAACTTTATGCTTTTCTATAAGTTTTTGGGTGTACAATGATGTTTTGCTTGTGCATCTTTCAGCTTTCTCATCTTAAAGCTTCATCAGAGACATTAAAGGAACAGAGTAATGAGACAAACAGCAAAGTTGTAAGCTACATGCAGCAGCTACAAGCGGTGAGGGTTCTGAGGACCATGCCTTTTAACATGCATTTGATTAGTACAAAATTAATGTAATTCTCCTTACTGTCCTACATACATTTCTTACAATGTTTATTCTGCATTTTCCTGTATGGCCTGCTGAATTTAAAGGTTTATTGAATATACATCTTTTCGTCACCATTTGAAGCCAGAAATATGTGTTATATCTCGCTAATCTTGTTGTCTTGATCTATACTGTAAGTTCCAAGGTTTTCTTCTAGGATTTATGGCCCAAGCAGGAAAAAACTTGGTCCTTAACTTACAGTACAGACTTTAAACTCAGTTAGTTACAGGTATGTACTATGTTACTAATGTATAGTTTTATTTGCAGGCTCGTGAGCAGTTGATTAAGCAGGACGACCACTTCAAAACAGAACTAGCTTCACAGTCAAAGCTGGCAGTACTTTATAAGGTGATTTTTCTTGGAATATTTGACTCTCTACCATTTAAGAGGTTGGCAAAGGGTTTATACAGCTGTACCTGACGTGTGATTAAGGCTTAATATGTGAAGAGTGAATTTTACAGAAAGGTGAGCGTGTTTTATGTATTTATGAACTAACCTCGTGAGGCCTCCTGAAGACATGACCTGTGAATGTTTCCTTACATTTCGGGAAAACCTAAAGATTTTCCTACAACATTGCACACAAGATGAATAATTTGAAGTTTTCCCTTCTAAATCTGTGACATGTGAAATGCAGTTTATGATATTTGTCACACAAGAATATTTTTTCAAAATTCAGGCATGAAATGGGATTAGGCTCCCCCCCACTCTTTGCCGCCCTCACTTATTATACAAACTGTGGTGTTATACAAGGATTTCCAGCCCTGAGAAAAGCCATAACAACCCATGTGAAAAAAATACAATAATTTTGCATGTGTGTTTGATATGGCTTATCAACAGCACCTTCCAACTTTCTGCAGGAATTGTTGATCCTATTTTTTCATTCATGAATAAAGCCAACTTTTCTAATCAGTGAAAGCCTCTTGTGCTTATATAAGGAACAAAATAATACATGGTTGCTTGTAAATACAGGCATATGGAATTTCTCTTCTCGTGTTCAACTCAACATCTCACTTGTTTCCTGTACTCATCTGTGAACTGAAAATGTATTGAGTAGAACACTTGAAGAGAAATTCCATGTCTTCTTGTGCCCATGGATTATTCTTTATTTAACACACCTTTGATCCAAAAAGAGCATCTTATTTCAGTAAGAAGGAGATCATGATTATAACTTTGTGAGTAATTTTATCATTAGGATAGTGCAGATGAAGCAAAGAAGAAAAGTGAAGAACTTCTAACAGCATTTGAAGAACTTCAAAAGCTACTAAAAGAATCTAATGAAAGTAAGTAACTGCAGATGTTGTTTTTGTTGTTGTTGTTGTTTTTTTCAGTTTAAAATTAAGTCTAGAGTAAAATAAACTTAAACTAGTTTGATATACAATATGTATGTTTTTACCTTTGTTATTGGGATACTGTATGTCAATCCCACGATAATCCTTATTATTTCTAGTAATTCTCGTTACTGTCTGTTATACAATTTTTATGATGTTAGTTTAGAGAATTTTGTACTGGATCAAGTCGTAATTTCCCTAATTTATATTTTTCTTTTTTCCTACTTGATATTGTGTATTGTATTTTATTTTTCTTTTTGTGTGCTTGATATTGTATCAACATTGTTAGCTGAAAATTCTGTCTCGGTCACTCTTGAGAGTTGAAGGTTAAACAAAGGAAAGTTTGAAACAAGCCACTGTTGTTTAAAACCATTCTAACCTGAAATCAGCTTTAAAAAATATCCATGCAGGTTATAATTGACTCTTAACCCTATCACTCCCAAGATCTCATTAGTAATTCTCCCTACTGTCTGTCATATAGTTCATGTGATGTCAGCTTTGAGAATTTGGTATTAGATCAACTAGTAATCCCTTAATTGATATTTTTCTTTATTCTCACCACTTGTCTGCTTGATATTGTATTGATGTTGTAAGGAGAAATTCTGTTTTGGTCACTCATAGCAGTTAAATGGTTAAGAAAATTATGGAGTGCTTACTCTCTTCTTGAAATTCTTAGGTCGACTCGAACTTGATAGCAGATTCAAGGAACAGGAGAATTCCCATTTGGAGAAAGTTAAAGAACTTGGTAACTATAGCCCTTTTTTTGAAATAGTGTTGACTTGCGCACTCAGATCTTAGATGGAGGAGGAGATTGGTAAAAATTAGTCAGAAATAAGGATTTTTAAAAAAATTAATGTTTTCTTCAACAGAGGAAAAGATCAACAAACTAGACAAGGAGCTTGAGAATGCCAATGATTTATTAGCAGCTGCAAGACAAAGAGGTAAAATTAAACTCTTGAACAATTACAAACCTTTAAGGCTGGTTTTCACAGGCAAGAGAGAGTGAGTCATAGTGGTAGCCAAAATGGTAAGAGCACTTCTTACTCGGTGTGGATTGAAAATTGGAGTTGAAGGCATATTAATTTCCATAACCTTAAAAATTTAGCACTGCTTTAGTATTAGTTTCCTTAATTGCAAATAAGTTTCCCTCTCAATTTTGCATTAGAACTCTTATAAGTGATTAAGATGGAATTTCTCCATACACTCTCGAGACAGACAGTAAGGAGAATTACTTTCACAGGAGTGAAAGGGTTAATTTCAGTCATGGTAATATCAAATACCTACAGTAAATGAACACCATCATCAATCAATCAGTCTTTGTAGTTTATTTTGTTGAAAGAGGCTTTTGACCCTCCATGCTAAAACTTATGTAAACAAGCACTCTGGACAGACATATGGTTTCTTCCAATTTCTCTCCTATTGTGATCTAATTTTTATCCCTTCAAGCACCAACAACGGTCATCAAATGGTTTGGGTATTCATCCAGTTACGTTGTCTTTGACATGTTTCCAACTCTTTTCAGGTACAGCACCTTTAACTCCGGTAGAGCTGAGCACACTTTCACCAACTGCTGCAGCAACAAGTTCGTTTATGAAGTCTGGAATGACTCTTACCCAGGTTGATACTTAGTCTAATGAATTTATTTTCCCTTTTTGTGGGACAGTTCAGTGGTAACCTTGTTAATTTTCCTTACATCAGAGGTTAGTGAACTATTAAAAGGAAAGTCTCCTTGTTTTTCTGTTGAATCAATGGGATCACTGTAAACTGAAGAAGACTGAACACATTTATCTATATCTTCACATAGTAGTTTGCAATTTGTGTCAGAAAAGCAATAGTTGTGATTGACATGCTTAATTTGTATTTTGCAGATTTATAGTCAATATGTGGAAGTCTCTGATACATTGCAGCAAGAAAAAGATGAGAATATCAGACTAAAACAGTACCTGGATCAGATACTGAAGGTAAATCTGGTACAGATCAGTGATTTAGTTAATTGCATGAAAACATTCCCTTTGTCATGAGTTTTCCATTTTCCTTATACTGCAGTCTTAAAGTGAAGTATCATCTGTTATACTGCATGTCACTTCAAGGATTTTTTCTTGTTTTCTTGCTTTTTTATGTCTCTTCTTTCCTCTTTGCTTTCACTGTTGCATTACATTCATTATAATTTGATTGAGTACAAGAAGAAACATTTTGATAATTGATACTGTAGGAAATTGAGGAGAAGGCACCAGTGCTTCAACAACAGAGAAGAGATTATGAGCAGGCATTAAACAGTGTGGATCAACTGTCAAGGAGACTGGATTCAGCTCTTGTGGTGAGCAGAT